GAATTTCTGCTTTATATTTACACCCCCACATTCCCTTAGACGGGACATCTCCACTGCCCCCAAACTGCCTCCTCCTCTGCACAAAAAAACCCCAAGCTTCACCCCCTTTAAAAGAGTTTGGTAATAAAATTTTTTTACTTTCCCCTTCTTTGCCTCCAAGATAACGTTTTTTGTCTCCAATATACCTAAAAGCCCCACCACCTTTTTTTCCCTAATCAATTCTTGTTTAAACCTCCCCTTCAAAATCCACCCGCACACTAAACTTCCAATATCTAAAAACATTACTTCTTCCATACTCCTCCTCCCCAATTTGATATCCAATTTCTTTTCTAAATTTTTGATACCTCATCCCTTACTCTTGTCATGTTCACTTTCCCTTTCGACCTTTAACACACTCCAAACCATCCCCTAACCTTTGCATTTTTTTTAAAATCTCCCATAAGCACGTTACAGAAAAAAAGCAACTGTGTCAATTCCCTTTTTGTTTTGTTTCCCCTAATTTTAGCCCCACCCCTCCCCGAACACCCTAGCATTTACTTTTTTAAACCCCATCTAAAAATATATTAAAAACCATGGTGACTTTAAAACCCCCCGCTAAGCCCACTTTTACTGGGGGGTAGTCTCCCTCCGTCTACACACCCTAACCTGAGCCTCACTTCCTCAAAAAAACTTTTTTCAGCTTTAGTAACTTTACCACCTACCCCATATTTCAACATCTGCCACATTGCTACCCTTCCACTTACATATCCCTTTTCAAAAATCCATAAATGCAAAAAAAAAATTTCCCTACCTTTCTAAATACTGTTCACAATTTTGCTTCCCTTAAACACTGATCTACACAATCCTACATTTTGTCTTTCCTCTAAATTTTTTCAATTTAAAACCCCACCGTACATTTTCCTGGGATACTCAGTAAACTTTTTCCCTATAATTTTCAATCTCGTTTGTTCCCCTTCCCCTTTTTATAAGGGGCTTACATGCTCTCTGCCAACCCTAGGTCCTTCCCCTCTTTTTATACATTTATTAACAAAAAACCAAACCCCCCAACACTAATCCCCCCCGTTTTTAACATTTCTGTCAGATCCCCTCAGTTCCAGTGCTTTAGCCCCTTTTATGCTATTAAACCTCACGACCTCCCCCACACTCGCACCTGTTTTCTTCACTCCAAAAGGTATCCTCCCTGCCAGGCATGAAAAATTACCGCTTTCCCCCTTTTTTCGTCGACATTTAAAAGTTCCCCCAAATTTCTCGCCATCTACCAAAAACCCCCATCTCCCCATCTACTACACTAAGCCGTTTCACCCGGGCGGGTGACCCAAAAAAAAAAAATGTCTCATCTTCAAAACTTTCACCATCACTCATACATAATCACTGTCTTTGGAAAGGCATTCAGATACGCCAGTTTAGACATCCCTCTACACTGCCAATATCCTAAACCCCTCCTTAAGAGGTGGGAAACAGGTACTGAAGTTAAAAACACAAATAAGCCATGGGGATGCCAGAAAATATCTCGTCTCAGGGGCGGTCGGGAAGTGGAACGACCTTGACACAAGGGTAGAGGGTGACTGTATATTGTTTTGAGAGCAGGTGTAATTTGGCCCACTACACTAGAAGAGAATGAATCTGGCAAGAAGCAAGTTGAGAGGCAGAGCCTGGAGCTAGAACTCATCCCCATGCAACCACATATAGTGAAGTGCTAGGCCCATAGTTGTTGTAAAGGGAGGCAATTGGGATTGATCCAAGGGATGGTCTGGTTCAATTCCTTGGATTAAGAGTCCCTCATCAGGTTAATGTGTTAACCCCTTCTTTTGTGTGGTTTATGCACATTGGTCAGCCCTTGCAAAATATGAATCTGGAAGGCAAAAACTTGTTTATAATTATGGGCAATCCTCTAGCAGCTGGTGCTTGCAGAGGCAAAGGCAATGTTCGCGGCTTTCACTGAGACCCACATAAAGGATCACTTGGACAACGAAATATGGATCCCAGGTTACAACCTATACAGATGTGACAGAGTGAACAGGCAAAAGGGGGGGGTTGGCCTGTACATTGCAGAGTCACTTGTTTGCACAGAACTGCTAAATGCCTCAAATGATGTAGTGGAAGTTTTAGCAGTAAAGGTCGAGAACCAAAACCTAGTCATTGTGGTAGTCTACAAGCCTCCGATGCAACAACCCAGCAATTCCAGGAACAGCTGTTTAAAATTGACCACTGTCTGGAAAACCTTCCAGCTCCTGCACCAAACATCTTGCTCCTGGGGGATTTCAACTTAAGGCACCTAAAATGGAGGAATATAGCAAATAATATTGTTGCAGAAATAACACCAGGAGGCAGCTCTGATTTAAAACTCACACTCACGCGAGCTTTTAAATCTCTGCACAAAATTCAATTTAAACCAGCAAATAATAGAGCCTACTAGACTGGAGAATACACTAGACCTCATCTTCACTAACAATGATGATCTGATAAGAAATGTTACCATATCAAAAACAATATACTCAGATCACAACATAATTGAGGTTCAGTCATGTTTTGCGCGGAGCCCCAGACCGACTAATGAGATTAGTCCACGAGGGAGCATTCACCAAATTCAACTTCAATAACAAAAACATAAAGTGGGACCAAGTAAACCCAAATCCTAACCGATATAAGCTGGGGAAAATATACTAAGCAACACAGACCCCACTTATGCCTAGAACAGATTAACTCGGTGGCACTCGATGTATGCACAAGGCTTATTCCTCTAAGAAAAAGGAGGAGTAGATGTAAAACAGAAAGAGACAGGCGCTCCCTCTACAGGCGACGGAAAAGAATAACAGAGCGGCCTAAAAAAGGTCAAAATATCTGAAATGCGTAGGGAGACACTGGTCAGAGGGAAAAAGCAAGCATCGAACTTAAGCTAAAAGAATCCTTTAGGAGTCAGGAATCGCGGGAAGAACTAAAAGCCATAAATGAAATCGAAAGAAACCCAAGATTTTTCTCCTATGCCAAATCAAAATCGAGAACAACGTCCAGTATTGGGCCCCTACTTAAACAAGATGGGTCCTACACGGATGACAGCAAGGAAATGAGTGAACTACTCAAGTCCCAATATGACTCAGTTTTTAGCAAGCCGCTAACCAACTGAGAGTTGAAGATCAAAATGAATTTTTTATGAGAGAGCCACAAAATTTGATGAACACAAGCCTATCCGATGTTATCCTGACGCCAAATGCCCTTTCGAACAGGCGATAAATGACATGCCCATGCACTCTGCCCCGGGGCCCAGACTCATGGAACTCTGTGTTCATCAAGAACTGCAAGAAGCCCTATCACGAGCCTTTTCCATCCTATGGAGAGGGAGCATGGACACGGGGGTCGCCCCCACAGTTACTAAAAACAACAGACATAGCCCCACTCCACAAGGGGGCAGTAAAGCAACAGAAAAGAACTACAGACCAATAGCACTAACTCCCATATCATAAAAATCTTTGAAAGGGTCCTAAGAAGCAAAAATCACCACCCATCTAAAACCCATCATTTAAACAAAAACCCAGGGCAACAGGGTTTAGAACAGGTCGCTCTTGTCTGTCTCAACTATTGGATCACTACGACAAGGTCCTAAATGCACTAGAAGACAAAAAAAAAGCAAAATGTAATATATCAGACTTTGAAAAAGCCTTCGACAAGTGTGACCATGGCGTAATAGCGCACAAAATGCGTGCTAAAGGAATAACAGGAAAAGTCGGTCGATGGATCTATAATTTCCTCACTAACAGAACACAGAGAGTAGTCGTCAACAGAGTAAAGTCCGAGGCAGCTACGGTGAAAAGCTCTGTTCCACAAGGCACAGTACTCGCGCCCATCTTGTTCCTCATCCTCAATACCGACATGGGACAAGGATGCAGCCACAGCACCGTGTCTTCCTTTGCAGATGACACCCGAATCTGCATGACAGTGTCTTCCATTGCAGACACTGCAAAGCTCCAGGCGGACATCAACAAATTTTTCAGGGGGCCCTGCAGAAAACAATATGAATTTTCAACGATGAGAAATTTCAATTACTCAGATATGGTAAACATGAGGAAATTAAATCTTCATCAAGTACAAAACGAATTCCTGGCCACAAAATAGAGCGAAACACCAACGCAAAGACCTGGGAGTGATCATGTCGGAGGATCTCACCTTCAAGGACCATAACATTGTATCAATCGCATCTGCTAGAAAAATGACAGGATGGATAATGAGAACCTTCAAAACTAGGGAGGCCAAGCCCATGATGAACACTCTTCAGGTCACTTGTTCTATCTAGGTGGAAATTTGCTGCACACTTTAAAAGCTCTTTCAAGGCAGTGAAATTGCCCACCTAGAAAATGTACAGAGAACTTTCACGGCGCGCATAACGGAGATTAAAACCCCCTCTAATTATTGGGAGCGCTTGAGGTTCCTAAACCTGTATTCCCTGGAACGCAGGAGGGAGAGATACATGATTATATACACCTGGAAAAACCTAGAGGGACTAGTACCGAACTTGCACACGAGAATCACTCACTTTCGAAAGCAAAAGACTTGGCAGACGATGCACCATCCCCCCAATGAAAAGCAGGGGTGTCACTAGCACGTTAAGAGACCATACAATAAGTGTCAGGGGCCCGAGACTGTTCAACTGCCTCCCAGCACACATAAGGGGGATTACCAACAGACCCCTGGCAGTCTTCAAGCTGGCACTGGACAAGCACCTAAAGTCGGTTCCTGCCCAGCCGGGCTGTGGCTCGTACGTTGGTTTGCGTGCAGCCAGCAGCAACAGCCTGGTTGATCAGGCTCTGATCCACCAGGAGGCCTGGTCACAGACCGGGCCGCGGGGGCGTTGACCCCCGGAACTCTCTCCAGGTAAACTCCAGGTAAACTCCAGGTAGGTTAGCCTAGGTTAAGATAATTTATGTTGGATTAGGTTAGGATTTTTTTTATTTTACCTGCATTTATTTCTTTGCAGGTCTGGGTAACACATCCTTCTGGGTGGGAGGAGTGAAGCGAGGTGTGGAGGAGTGGTGGTGGGTAGATGGCACCTACCTTACCCTGGGCAGTTCCTTCTGGTACCCAACCTTTGCTCGCCGACCCAAGGAAGTTCCTGAGGCCAGGATGTCCCTCCGAGACTCCATCTTCACCAGAAGAAAAGGCGAGACTAAAAGTCATTGCAATAATCAGGTTGAAGTGCTAAACCCATGACAGTCATATAACACCTGGGACAGAGGCAAGCAGATTTGATCCAAAGATCATTATTAGTCAAGGGGAACACTAAATCCATAGGGGTCATACATTGCTTTTGCACGAAGTACTCAGGTTTGATCCAAGGAAGTGGAGGGCAGGTTCCTCTTCTTGGATCAAATCTGAATGCTTCCCATTTTCCCTTGCTCTTCACTCAATCCAAGGAAAGAGAGGATAGGTTCAGTTCCCTAGATCAGTTATTATTATTACTGTAATCAAAGAGAAGTGCTAAACCTAGAAGGGTCATACAGCGTCCCTGTATCAAGAATTTCCCTTGAGAATCTTGGCTTTAGCTTTCTGCAAACCAGGATTCCCAAGCTCTCTTCACATCGAGTATGTTAAGGTTCCACATTATGCAGTTTGTTCAGTATGGGAAGTGATGCCATTTTATTTAAGGGAAGGGTAGCTTCAATCTCTTGGATCAGAAACACATCCCTGGCATCAAGGCGCTCCCGAAAAGTGAATGAAACATGTTTAAGGGAGTCTTCATTGGTTTTGTCATTTGTATGCCTTTTTATTTATTTATTTATTTATTTAAAAATTTGTGCACACATACAGAGGTACAAAAAATACAGAAAAGAGCAGTATGCCAAAGCCACTTATACTATGCATAGCATTACGGGCTGGCTTAAAATTAACTTAAGATGAACTAAGCAATGATGACATCGGTGATAAAACTTTAATGTAAACAGATTACTATAAAGCACAAGTGAGTATTACAAAGACAGGTCATATGGTTGTATGCATTGTTGTACATTCAGTAGAATGGAGTATTCTGTTAGGTAGTGTATTTAAAAAATAATAAAGTTAGATTGGGTTTTAGGTTTAACATTTATGTGATATAATTGTGAGAAACATTTAAGATATACAATTTATAAGGTTCAGTTATTCAGTATTTATTTGGTTTTGGGTGAGTAAGTGATCTTTGAGAAGAGACTTGAATTTATAAACAGGTAGTGTTTCTTTTATATTTACAGGTAATGAGTTCCAGATTTTAGGGCCTTTTATGTGCATTGAGTTTTTGCATAGTGTGAGATGGACACGAGGAACATCAAAGAGTGATCTGTGCCTTGTGTTATGGTCATGTGTTCTGTTGAGGTTGGCAAGGAGATGTTTGAGGGGAGGGTTAATATCAGAGTTAAGTGTTCTATGTATGTAATAGGTGCAGTAATAAGTATGAATGTTTTGTATGGTGAATAGGTTTAGTGTATTGAATATTGGTGGAGTGTGCTGCCTATAGTGAGAATTTGTTATCATTCTAACTGCAGCCTTTTGTTGGGTAATTAGTGGTCTGAGATGGTTACTTGTTGTTGAGCCCCATGCACAAATTCCATAGGTGAGATAGGGGTAAATAAGAGAGTGATATAGGGCCAGGAGGGCTGACTGTGGAGCATAGTACCGTATCTTCGATAGTATGCCTACAGTCTTGGAAATTTTCTTAGAAATTTGTTGTATATGTGTATGAAATTTGAGTCTATTATCAAGGTGGATGCCTAAGAATTTTCCCTCTGTTAGCTTTGTGATAGGTGATCCGTTTATCATTATGTTAAGAGGGACATCTGTAGCTCTGTTACCAAACTGAATGAAGTAGGTTTTGTCAATGTTTAGTGTAAGTTTGTTAGTCCTCATCCAGGTAGATATTTTCTGTAATTCTGTATTTACAGTATTGGCTAGCGTGACTGGGCTCGGGTGGGAGAAGACGTATGTAGTGTCATCTGCAAATAGTGTGGGTTTGAGTAATTGCGAAGCATTTGGTAGGTCATTTATGTATAGGAGAAAGAGAAGAGGGCCAAGGACACTTCCTGTGGGACACCAACTGTAATTGGTTGTGCAGAAGAGTTTGCCCCATTTGCATACACATATTGGCTTCTGTTGCTGAGGTATGACTTGAGGTAGTTGAGGGAGTGCCCTCTTATACCATAGTGGTGACAATTTTACGTGGAGCAAGTCATGGTTAACTGTATCAAAAGCTTTACGTAAGTCAGTGAAGATCCCCAGTGGGACTTCTTTTTTCTCTATTGCAGTGTATATATTGTTCTAGCATGTGTATAATAGCATCATTAGTATTTTTATTTGGCCTGAATCCAAATTGGCAGGGTTGAGTATGTTTTGGGAGATAAGGTAGGAGTAGATTCGTTTATGAATTAATTTTTCGAAGATTTTTGAGAGAGGGTGTAAGTTGGATATTGGCCTATAGTTATTCAACTCTGTTTGGTCTCCTCCTTTGTGGATCGGGGTGACCCTTGCTATTTTGAGTACTGTGGGGAAGGTGGAGGATTCAATGGATTTGTTAAAGAGTGTTGCAATGATTGGTGATAGCACTTGTGACACTTTTTTTGTATATAAAGGGTGGTAAGGTATTTAAATCTCCTGCCTTGTTTTTTAGCGTGTTGATAATAAGGGAGACTTCGTATGGGTTAGTCGGAGCTAGGAACAGTGTGTTCGGGTAGTTGCCAGTGAGGTAGTCATTTGGTGGGGTATCTGAGCTTGGGATTTTATTGGCAAGGTTTTGTCCTATAGTGGAGAAGAAGTCATTGAGTCTGTTTGCTGTTTCTGTTGGTGGGAGTTGGGGTTCATCTGATTTTGCTAATTTTATTTCGCTATTTCGTGATATCTTTTTTGTTCCTAGAATTTCTGATAGGGTTTTCCAGGTCTTTTTTATATCACCTCGTAAGTTGGATAATCTGTTCTCATAATACAATTTTTTTGCCCTTCTTATCAGGCTGGTTAGGATTGACGAGTAACGTTTTGTTTGGTCTCTGGTTATGTGACCCATTCTGTACTGTTTTTCATATTGGTGTTTTGTATTTATGGATTTGAGAATGCTGGGTGTTAACCAGGGACTGTTCAGTCTCTTAGCTGTCATCTGTTTAGTTTTTTTAGGGCAGTGCTTGTTATAGAGGTATTGGGTCTTTTTTAGAAAATTATTAATACATTCGTCAATATCTGTATAGATTTCTAGCTCAGTGTGCCAGTCAATGTTTGCTACTGCTGTTGTGAAGTTATTAATGGCTGCCTCATTGTGAAGTCTGAAGGTGACTTTAGTAGTGTCTTGGGGTAATTTACCAAGAGTTGTTATGAGAAAAGTAGGGTAGTGGTCTGTGGTATTATCTGTAATTATGCCTTGAGATCAACAACCTGATTGATCACATACCAAGCAGCATTTAGCTATAGGAATATAATAAAATTAAGCCCTAAACCTGAAAGGGTCACAGTACTGCAGGTAGGAATGTGCAAGTAATAAGAGTGAGGGGCATGAGTGTGTGAGTGCAGGGGTCAGTATGAGTAGAGGGGAGAGCAAGAGGAAAATTAATATCACAGTTGGGGCAACAAGTTAATTTCTGTTAAGAGAGCACCTGCAATGCACCGTGTCCAGAACTACTATGAAGGACAAGGCAGACATCGATGCAATGTGCATGATAGCCATGAGAAATGCATGTAATCCAGCTGTGAAAACACTGGGTGAGTCTAGTAAATGACCTCAGATGACTTTGTCAGGGATAAACTACTCCATGGGGAAGTGGAACAGAATTCTTCCTCTGAATGCCATGCGTGTCGTAAGAGTTAGTTTAATATGTTTATTATGCACCCCATACCCATCCTGTGGGCGGTAGTCAAAAGATTACAGAGGTACATAATTGGTCCAGGGACTGGGCCTCAAAGTTTTGATAGCTGAGCAAGTTACAGAGGTAATGAATTCACAATTTACAAAGGTAATGAACTCACAATTTACAAAGGTAATGAACTCCAGGTAGGTCTAGTCACAATCATGACAAGTTACAAAGGTATTTACAGATTACAGAGGTACACAATGGGTCCAGGGACCGGGCTCCAAAGTTTTGATGGCTGAACTAGGTACAAGGTTATGAACTCACAAGTTACAAAGGTAATGAATACTGTAAGAATGGTTACTTACGTTTATACATGGCTGCAATCATGAACAAATTTTAGAGTAATAGTGGCCCGGTGGCCTGGTGGCCTGGTGGCTAAAGCTCCCGCTTCACACACGGAGGGCCCGGGTTCGATTCCCGGCGGGTGGAAACATTCGACACGTTTCCTTACACCTGTTGTCCTGTTCACCTAGCAGCAAATAGGTACCTGGGTGTTAGTCGACTGGTGTGGGTCGCATCCTGGGGGACAAGATTAAGGACCCCAATGGAAATAAGTTAGACAGTCCTCGATGACGCACTGACTTTCTTGGGTTATCCTGGGTGGCTAACCCTCCGGGGTTAAAAATCCGAACGAAATCTTATCTTATCTTATCTTAATGAGCAATTCACACTTCCACACCCGGTCACAACTGTAGTGAGTTATTGGTGCAAATGTTGATTGCTGAGTCTCTCTCTCTCACACACACACACACATACAAATTCATACACACACATACATAAACACACACACACAAACTCATACACACACACACACACACTCATACACACACACACACACACTCATACACACACACACACTGTCGTAAGAGGCAACTAAAATGCCGGGAGCAAGGGGCTGTATACATTACTAAATTTAAAGAGAGACTTTTTTTTTTTTTTTTTTTTTTTAGGTCATCTGCCTTGGTGGGATATGGCCAGTTTGTAAAAAAAAAAAAAAAAAAAAAAAAAAAAAAGTTGCATAACCAAAGCTATCAGAGGATTTAGAACCATCAGTGTACACTGCAATAGAATGAGAATGGAAGTGATCAAGAGTGAGCAAGCATGACTAATAAGACTTCCCAAGTAGGGAGGGAAAAGTAAGATGCAGGGTGAATGTAGAGGGGAGGTAATTAAGGAAAGCCAATAGTGAATATGGAGAGGAAAGGGGTGTAATAAATGGGGATGACAATTAAATAAAGACGTCTTATTAACATCTGTTACCATCCTACATGTGGAAGGATTGTGAAGGTCAGTGTACTGTAAATCATAAAACCTAGAGGTGTGGACTCCTCCTTGGGTTTGGAGGGAAGAATGGAGGGTGAGATGGAGCCCTTGGGATTCATAATGATGATGATGCCTAATTCCTGTGGCAAACTCAACAAGGTCTGCAATTCTAGAACCAGGAACCATAACAATTTGAGCCGAGTCTGGAGAATGTTTGCTAGTCAACTTGTGTACCTGTATCAAGACTGCACTACAAGTACAATAGTGAAATTAACAGTGGACACAAGCTCACCAACAATTACATTTTGCTATGTGTATAACATGATTGGTAAGCACCCTTGTCTGTTGAAAAGCCAGAAACAGATTCGTGGTTGCTGTAACGGTAGAACTTTTCAGTCACACACCATGAGCACAGTCAGATCACCAGGGTACACATTTCTAATGCCTTCCTGAGGTTTGGGGGATGGCAAGTGATGCTGCAATGAAAACAGAGGTGGTAATAAGCTGTAACAATGTCTGAAGAGGACATAGGTGGTGGAATATCAAGAAATGTGGCATGAAAAATGTGCCCAGTCAGCTGAAGGAGGAAGCCTCCAAGATCCCTTGGTTGAATGACCCATATGGGTTTAGTGCTTCTTAAATGCAATAGTTTTTATATTTTAAAACATTCTTTATCTCTAACTACATTACCTACAGAACTGTATTTCACTATGTGCTTCATAATGATGTTAACAGAATTTTTAATGTTTCCAGGAACACATGCCCCTTCCATGCTGAGATCTGCAGGAAGACATAACAGGATTCCTGGAAGAATAGCAGCATCACGTGTGCAGTCAAACATAAGTCACATTCCAGGAAAATCAATCTCCCACATACAATCATCTACAGCACCTCAAGCTGGTAAGTTTCACCAAGAAAACACCTCAGGCGCACCTCCAGAAGCTGTGCGGGTCTCTAGCAACTCTGGCCATCAAGGTACTCGCTGGTGGACCTCTCGTCGCACTCCAAGTAACTACAAATCTCTGGTCATACATCCTATGAAACAGCATCCTATGAAACACCAACACAGACAGACTGTTTACACTTCAGGAGAGAGGGACTCTAAAGGTCATTGGTCAAGAGAGGCACAAGGTGACAAAAGTTACACTTCTGCAAGAAAACGCAAGTTCCTGAAGAAGTCATTTATGAGAGCCAGAAGACGTGAGGATCAAGAACTACAGACACAAGAGGCACATAAGTTTGTAGTGGGTGAGGGGCAGCTGGGGGCTGATGTAGTACCAAAGAGAGCTGTGTGTCTGTGGGCAAGATTCAGACACTTTTTTGCTTCATGTTCAGTTACAGAGCGCTTAAAAGCTGTCTGTGAATACAAATTCCTCATATCCAAAAATTGAAATTATGTGATGGCTTTATTTAAAGACAAAGAAAAATAGTACACACACTGTTGTGGAAAAGTTCTGAGTGCACAAAAAAAAATGACTTTTACTTACTGTAATAAGTATTTACATAAGTATTAGTAGTTACTAACAACAGTATGTTTATGCAGATTAAAAAATACTCCCAAATAATATTGAATAAATAAAGCTACATTAGTTAAGAGAGGAACTTATGTGACTTATGTAACTGTATATGTGATTTTCCTATTGTACATAGAGAACTATGAGTATGTATTGGGTATAAAACTATAACATGTGAAATATATATATATTTTTTTTTGTTTTTTACAAAATTTTGGGTATCAATTATTCTATGTCAAATCTGTGGAATTTTTTTTTTACCTCAATGGCTGTCTTCCACCAAGACAGGTTGACCCAAAGAAGAAAATATCCACTATCATTCATTCAATAGCTGTCTTCCCAGAAGTGTACTGACATCATAATTCAGTTTACCCTTCAACTGCAATATCCCCTATCCTCCTCCAGAGTACAAGCACTGCCCTTCCCACCTCCAGGACTCAAATCCAGCTAATGGGCTTCCCTGAATCCTTTCATAAAAGTTACCTTGCTCTCAAATGCCAACAGCACGTCCACTCACTCCTAACAAATTCACACAAGCCTGCTGGATGCTCAAGCCCCTAAAACCCAAAGCTGTTCTTGGAATAACCCCTACCCTTCCTACCTTCTGCCCCAGATTTTTACACCCTCTTCTCCAACCTATCCTCAGCCCTCTCGATTATAAACTTAGTGATCTAAATATATTTAAATATAAGGACATTGTGCAGAGAGATTGAGGAAAGGCATACACTAACATATTACCTGGAGTTTACCTGGAGAGAGTTCCGGGGGTCAACGCCCCCGCGGCCCGGTCTGAGACCAGGCCTCCTGGTGGATCAGAGCCTGATCAACCAGGCTGTTGCTGCTGGCTGCACGCAAACCAACATACGAGCCACAGCCCGGCTGATCCGGAACTGACTTTAGGTGCTTGTCCAGTGCCAGCTTGAAGACTGCCAGGGGTCTGTTGGTAATCCCCCTTATGTGTGCTGGGAGGCAGTTGAACAGTCTCGGGCCCCTGACACTTATTGTATGGTCTCTTAACGTGCTAGTGACACCCCTGCTTTTCATTGGGGGATGGGTGCATCGTCTGCCAAGTCTTTTGCTTTCGTAGTGGGTGATTTTCGTGTGCAAGTTCGGTACTAGTCCCTCTAGGATTTTCCAGGTGTATATAATCATGTATCTCTCCTCCTGCGTTCCAGGGATACAGGTTTAGGAAACCTCAGCGCTCCCAATAATTGAGGTGTTTTATTCTCCGTTACGCGCCGTGAAAGTTCTCTGTACATTTTCTAGGTCGGCAATTTCACCTGCCTTGAAAGGTGCTGTTAGTGTGCAGCAATATTCCAGCCTAGATAGAACAAGTGACCTGAAGAGTGTCATCATGGGCTTGGCCTCCCTAGTTTGAAGGTTCTCATTATCCATCCTGTCATTTTTTCAGCAGATGCGATTGATACAATGTTATGGCCTTGAAGGTGAGATCCTCCGACATGATCACTCCCAGGTCTTTGACGTTGGTGTTTCGCTCTATTTTGTGGCCAGAATTTGTTTTGTACTCTGATGAAGATTTAATTTCCTCATGTTTACCATATCTGAGTAATTGAAATTTCTCATCGTTGAACTTCATATGTTTTCTGCAGCCCACTGAAAGATTTGGTTGATGTCTGCCTGGAGCTTTGCAGTGTCTGCAATGGAAGACACTGTCATGCAGATTCGGGTGTCATCTGCAAAGGAAGACTACTGTGCTGTGGCTGACATCCTTGTCTATGTCGGATATAAGGATGAGGAACAAGATGGAGCGAGTACTGTGCTTGTGGAACAGAGCTTTTCACCGTGAGCTGCCTCGGACTTTACTCTGTTGACGACTACTCTCTGTGCGTTTGTTATGGAGGAAATTATAGATCCATCGACCGACTTTTCTGTTATCCTTTAGCACGCATTTTGTGCGCTATTACGCCATGGTCACACTTGTCGAAGGCTTTTGCAAAGTCTGTATATATTACATCTGCATTCTTTTGTCTTCTAGTGCATTTAGGACCTTGTCGTAGTGGTCCAATAGTTGGACAGACAGGAGCGACCTGTTCTAAACCCATGTTGCCTGGGTTGTGTAACTGATGGGTTTCTAGATGCGTGGTGATCTTGCTTCTTAGGACCCTTTCAAAGATTTTATGATATGGGTGTTAGTGCTATTGGTCTGTAGTTCTTTGCTGTTGCTTTACTGCCCCCTTTGTGGAGTGGGGCTATGTCTGTTGTTTTTAGTAACTGTGGGACGACCCCGTGTCCATGCTCCCTCTCCATAGGATGGAAAAGGCTCGTGATAGGGGCTTCTTGCAGTTCTTGATGAACACAGAGTTCCATGAGTCTGGCCCTGGGGCAGAGTGCATGGGCATGTCATTTATCGCCTGTTCGAAGTCATTTGGCGTCAGGATAACATCGGATAGGCTTGTGTTAATCAAATTTTGTGGCTCTCTCATAAAAAATTCATTTTGATCTTCGACTCTCAGTCTGGTTAGCGGCTTGCTAAAACTGAGTCATATTGGGACTTGAGTAGCTCACTCATTTCCTTGTTGTCATCTGTGTAGGACCCATCTTGTTTAAGTAGGGGCCCAATACTGGACGTTGTTCTCGATTTTGATTTGGCATAGGAGAAGAAATACTTTGGGTTTCTTTCGATTTCATTTATGGCTTTTAGTTCTTCCCGCGATTCCTGACTCCTAAAGGATTCTTTTAGCTTAAGTTCGATGCTTGCTATTTCTCTGACCAGTGTCTCCCTACGCATTTCAGATATATTGACCTCTTTTAGCCGCTCTGTTATTCTTTTCCGTCGCCTGTAAAGGGAGCGCCTGTTTCTTTCTGTTTTACATCTACTCCTCCTTTTTCTTAGAGGAATAAGCCTTGTGCATATGAGTTACTGTCTTGATTATTCCCCTCATGGGAGGTTCCTTGATGCTGGTGAGGAGCTCTTGATCTAGGGAATTGGATGTGTGCTCCAGTTTCCCGAATTAAGCCTGAATGCCTTCCATCCCCCTCCCCCCACAGGCACTGTATAATCCTACGGGTTATGTGCTTCCCCGTGATTATAATAATAATAATGCCTTGATTATTACTAAAATCCTCGGCCAGTCAATGTTGCTGATTGCTATGGTTAAATTGCTTAATGCTTCTTTACTGAGTCTGAATGAGATTTAATTAAAGTGTTAATTTTGTTGCTGGATTTTATTAATGTGGGATAATACCCAGTTGTACTGCCAGTGATAATACCTGCTTTTAGATTATTACTGCATATGGGAGAAGGCACTAAACCTGCAGGGGTCATACAGCATCTGGGAAAATGGGAAGCAATCAACTTTGATCCAGAGATTAAGACAAATCCAATTCCTTCCATCAAGAGCCCCCTCACTTGCACCAAGGAACCCTTGAAGATTTGTAATAGTATTTATCAAGATATGGTAAAGAACAGAGGTGATCATCTCGGTTCTCATAGGTTTGGTTACAATATAATTTTGTCAAATGGCATAATGCACTGTCCAGGTGGTGGAATTTTGTTTGTCAGGAAATAGGACAAGAGCATCCTGATACGGTCTTTTATTGTTTTACACATCAATTTTACAGGCTAAGAGCTGTTATCCTACCTCAGCTCATTTCAAAGCCCCAGCCAAATCTGAGGTATAACCCCCCTTTCCCAGGATGTGACCCACAACAGCCGACTAGCAACCTGGGTACCTACTTATTGCTAGGTGAACAGGGCAGAAGGCACAAGGAAACATGTCTGGTTCTATCTGGCCAGGAATTGAACAACAGACTCAGTATGCAAGCGGAGCACGCTACCAACCAAGCCATGGCACACACCTTTGTATGACAAGAACCCAGAAACATCCACCCATTTTCCAGCTAGAATTTACACATTAAAAGTAGACTTGCTATTTAGTACTCTACTATAACAGTTCTTAATTTGTACAGCTCCTCCATCTTCCAAGATTATTATAATCATAAATAAGAACTAAACCCACAAGGGTCACACAATGCTGCCCATTTTCTGAGAGCCTTCCTATTTTCACTTTCTACCCTGTATTATATTACCTACTAATGTTTTATATAAGCTAAAACTTTCCTATGCAGCATTATTCTGTTCTATTTTTCTTTCTTTCAACTCTCACCAGCCATATCCCACTGAAGCAGGGTGGCCCAAAAAGAAAAATGAAAGTTTCTCTTTATAAATTTAGTAATGTATACAGGAGAAAGGGTTACTAGCCTCTTGCTTCTGGGATTTTAATTGCCTCTTATGACATGTATGGCTTACGGAGGAAGAATTCTGTTTCACTTCCACGTGGAGTACATTCTATTTAATATTATAATCATAACTAAGTCACAATGGATGTTTAACATATTTATAAATGGGGGTAGTAAATATTAGGGTATTGGGGAGAGGGGTTTACCTTGAGTTTGCCTGGAGAGGATTTCAGGGGTCAATGCCCCTGTGGCTCAGTCTGAGACCAGGCCTCATGGTGGATCAGGGTCTGATCAACCAAGCTGTTACTGCCAGCTGCACGCAAACTGACGTATGAACCACAGCCCGGTTGGTCAGGCACTGACTTTAGGTGCCTGTCCAGTGCCTTCTTGAAGATAGCCAGGGGTCTATTGGTAAACCCCCTTATGTACGCTGGTAGGCAGTTGAACAGTCTTGTGACACTTATTGTATAATCTCTCGATGTATTCATGGTGCCCCTGCTTTTCATCAGGAGAATGTTGCATCTACTGCCAAGTCTTTTGCTTTCATAGGGAGTGATTTTCATGTGCAGGTTTGGTCACCAGTCCCTCCAGGACCTTCCAAGTGTATTTTTTCATGCATCTCTCTCGCCTGCGTTCGAGGGAATACAGATCAAGGACCTTCAACCGTTTCCAGTAGTTTAGGTGCCTTATCGTACTTGTGTGTGCTGTGAAAGTTCTTTGTACGCTCTCCAGGTCTGCAATGTTGCCAGCCTTGAAGGGGGCCGATAGTGTACAGCAGTATTTCAGCCTAGAGAGAACAAGCGATTTGAAGTGTCATCATAGGTTTGGCATCCCTAGTTTTGAAGGTTCTCATTATCCATCCTATCATTTTCCTAGCCGATGAGGTAGATACATTGTTGTGGTCTTTGAATTATTATTATAATCAAGGGGGAAGCGCTAAACCCGGAGGTCTTTGAAGGCGAGATCCTCTGACATTACCACTCCCAGGTCCTTCACATTTCTTTTTTGCTCTATTGTGTGGTTAGAATTTGTCATATACCCAGATACATTTTTAATATCCTCAAGTTTTCCATATCTGAGTAGTTGAAATTTCTCCTCGTTGAACTTCATATTGTTTTGAGTGGCCCATTTGAAGATGGAAGTCACTGCCATGGCAATCCGGGTGTCATCTGCAAAGGAAGACACAGAGCTATGGCTTACATCTCTGTCAGAAATGAGGACGAGGAATAGAATTTGAGCAAGTACTGTGCCTTGTGAAACAGAGCTTTTCACCGTGGCTGCCTGGGACTTTACTCTGTTTACTATTACTCTTTGTGTTCTATTTGTCAGGAAGTTATAGATCCATCTACCAACTTTTCCTGTTATTCCTTTATCATGCATTTTGTGTGCTATTACACCATGGTCACACTTGTAGAAAGCTTTTGCAAAGTCTGTGTGTACTACATCTGTATTTTATCGTCAACAGCTTCCAGGACCTTGGGAGTGGCATTAAATTATGGGAAATCAAATACGAAATGGAAGTTGACACAGTTACTTTTTGCTGAAGATACTGTGCTTTTGGGAGATTCTAAAGAAAAGTTGCAAAGGTTAGTGGACAAGTTTGGGAGGGTGTGTCAAAGAAGAAAGTTGAAAGTGAACATAGATAAGAATAAAGTGATGAGGGTATCAAATGATTTAGATAATAAAAATTGGATATCACATTGGAGGAAGTGAGTATGGAAGAAGTGAATGTGTTCAGATATTTGCAAGTTGACTTGTCAGCAGATGGGTTTATGAAGGATGAGGCTAACCACAGAACTGATGAAGAAAAAAAGGTGAATGGTGTTTTGAGGTATCTGTGGAGACAAAAAACATTACCCATGAAGGCAAAGAAGGGAATGTAAGAGAGTATAGTGGTACCAACACTCTTATATGGGTGTGAAGCATGGGATGTAAATGCTGCAGCAAAGGGGAGGCTGGAGGCAGTGGAGATGTTGTGTCTAAGGGCAACATGTGGTGTAAATATTATGCAGAGAATTCATAGTGTGGAAATTAGGTGGTGATGTGGAGTTGCTAAAAGAAGTAGTCAGAGGGCTGAAGAGGGGTTGTTGAGGTGGTTTGGTGATTTAGAGATAATGGAACAAAGTAGAATGATTTGGATAGTATATAAATCTGTAGGGGAAGGAACGCAGGGAAGGGGTTGCCCTCGAAAAAGTTGGAGGGAGGGGGTAAAGGTGGTTTTGTGGGTGAGGGGCTTGGACTTCCAGCAAGCATGCGTGAACGTGTTAGATTGGAGTGAATGGAGCCAAATGGTTTCTGGGACCTGATAAGCTGTTGGAGTGTGAGCAGGGTAATATTTTGTGAAGGGATTCAGGAAAACCGGTTAGCCAGACTTGAGTCCTGAAGGCAAGAAGTACAATGCCTGCACTTTAACCCTTAAACTGTCCAAACAAATCTACGTTCATATGCGTAGTGCTCCAAAAGTACATCTACATTTTTTTACATATTTTCATATATATATAAAAAAAAAAAGTAGATCGAAGTTTTTTTACATGTTTTCAAATGTAAAAAAAACAGAAGGTCTACGTTTTTTTACATACTTTCAAATGTTGAAAAAACGTAGATCTACGTTTGGACAGTTTAAGGGTTAAAGGAGGGGTTTGGGATATTGGATGTTTGGAGTGACATTTAAACTGTCGTATCTGAGTGCCTCTGCCAAGACAGTGATTATTTATGAATGACGGTGAAAGTGTTAAATGATGATCAGTTTTTTTTCTTTTTGGGTCACCCTGCATTGGTGGGAAATGGCCAACATGTTAAGAAAAATGCTAAACTTTTTATTTATTACTTCGTTTTAGTTGCCACTATTTTGATAAATTTGAACATGCACATTGGGCTAACTATTTAGTAAAGACTTATTAGTCACAGGGAAGTGTTAACCCCTAAACTTCATGTAGCAAGAGGGAAATGGAAGGTACTCAGGTTTGATCTGAGAAAAAATGGAATTAGTGCAAATCTTTGGATCAGGAACCATTCATCATCAAGGCAAGACTCCCTTGAAGGGAGTAAGGATGTATATAACATGCAATTTTCCTTTAAAATATTTCCAATGATAGATAACATCTTTTTTTTTTTTTTAACCCTTTCAGGGTCCGTCCCGTAGATCTACGGCTTTACGTTCAGGGTCCAAACCGTAGATCTACGCCATGAGCTCAGCTCACTCTGATAAACTGTGAGTGGTACATTTGGGCCTAGGTATGAGAGAATACATCTATGTGGTATGTGTGCACCACATAAAACAGATCCTGCAGCACACTGTGTATAATGAGAGAAAAAAAATGAAATCATGATTTTTCGATTAAAACAGCAACTTTGCAGTGTTTTTTCGTATGTTTTTTATAGTTGTATTTGCGATTTCTTGGTCTCATTTGATAGAATGGAAGACATATTACAGAAATAGAGATGATTTTGATTGGTTTTAGCACTGGAAATGGCTTGAAACTGAGCTCAAAGTAGCAGAAATGTTAAATTTTTGCCAATATTCAAGAGTAAACAAACGACCTCACACGTCTAATACACGTCAGCTGGTGGGTCTAATAAACATTCACAAATATGGTGATGATATTTATACAATTATTACAGTATTGCATAACAGTAAATCTTCTATTTTTTGGTGTGAATAAAAATTCATTATGTGAATAAAAAATCAAAATGGAATTTATTTGTAAAGCCTCAAAACATAACTAATGAACAGAGGAAATGTTAGTTTAGTGCCAGGAATGCCTACATTGTTCATTCTGGACCCTATTTTGAAATTGGAATATTTTGAACTTTGTGTTAAATTGGCCAAATTAACAATTTCCGATCACTTTATTTTGTAGTTGAAACAGTTGACTTGGCGATTTCTTGTGCTCAATCGATAGAATAGAAGTGAAATAGCTAAGAATTTGGTTGATTGGAATAATGTAATTGGCCTAAAATGGGAGTCAAAATCGGCAAAATCGCCGATTCGTAAATATCGCTGACACATCAAAATTAGCGAGAGCATAATTTCGTCAATTTTCCACCAAATTTCGTACTTTTTGTTTTATTACCTTCACAAAAAGATTCTCTACGATTTCATAAGAAAAAATAACAATTTTTTTTTTTTTAAATTCTTGGACACTGGTATGTGACTCCAGATTTGGGCCTTGGACCCTGAAAGGGTTAAAGAATGAACTAAAAAAATCCAGATAATAGCAACTGTTCATTTGTATATTTAAAATTTGAGGTTCATACAGTGTGTACATAAACTCCAAACACAGGTTTATACAACATTCTTAAGCTATCAGTAATGACTCTGTAAAATATAAACCAGACATATAACCAATGATATACAGTATATTTCATATTTTCTTTATTTCTGTCAAAAGTTTTAGTTTTATTTTTCATAAAATTAAAAAACAAAATAACAATGATTATAATGAGACAAAAATAAAAGTCTTTTATCTCATGTAGAAGATAAGAAACAAACAAAAGACCGGTGCATTTTAATGCCCAGTACACTCTTAATTTTTCTATAATACTGCATTTAAAAAGTGAACATATATAGCAAGGAATTAGCTGCAGAAATCTCCAGGTTCCAGTGTAGTCACTAACGCCAGGATGAGAAGTTACTGCCACTGAAAAGATAAAAAATTACACAAGTAAATTCTGAAACTGTTGTTAAAATTACATGAAATGAATAAAATAATTTAAAATTAGTGATTAAATCTGATCCACTGTATAACTAATATAGTTCATTCCTAACAATAATTAAAAAAGACAAAATATCATTAATTATTTTAATGTCAAAATACCATGCCACATGAACATGTTCTCTCCTTACATCCTTCGAAACAACTTATGCATTATGTTGCATTTGTTGTCTACTCATTTTGGCACATACAGTTACTCATACTGTTTCACATCTCGGTATCTGGAATGTATACAATAAGGCACATCAGATGCTAGCCACAAAGAAAATGGTTTCCAATTTCCAAATGTATTGACAGACTGGAGCAAAGACAAATACATGGGAAGTGTTATGCCCATAAGGGTTATACAAAGCCCAGAAAATGGGAGGCAATCAGGTCTGCTGTGAGAAAGGAGAGGAAAGACCCACTGGAGCAAAAGTTCTTCACCAGCCTCAGGTCACCTCCCTTTTTCTTGGATTTCTTACTCTGAATCATTCTCCTGCATTTCAAAAGTTACTAATGAGTCATCACAAAGCATCTAAGTATGAAGAGAATTACAATAAAATTAATAATGCCAACAATTTGACATACAAAGTGTGTACTCCTATATTATAATAGAAAAGTTTCATTCATCACATGTGGAGAAATATAACCCAACACTAGTACACATAGATTAAACCAAATTTTCTTCATTTCCTTAAATTTATCCTCCGGTATTTGTAAAAAATTTCAGCTTTGCTATAATTTATGCCAATTGTCAGATCCAGTCAACTGTCTACTGCATTCAACTTTCTGCAGTTTCAGCCTCCAGGGATAACTAAATGATTTTTCTTGAGATGCTGTATCTTTCTCTAGTTTCAGGAATGCACTATATTTCTATATGTGGTAACTCACATGTAAGCAAAGACAGGAGAATGACTGAACAGTACAATTTTATTTTGGTCTGAGATCCTCATTGAGATCAGCATTTTCTTTTCATTTTTGTTATATTTACAATTACTGACTGACAGTATAAATCTTACCCATGCCAGTAAACCATGTCCAGAATGGTTCCATCATTTTCAATCACCACAGAGACTCAATTCACAAGTTACGACAGCAAGTCTCTTCATAATTTACAGTTCTACTTGCTCCAGTTTTCACTAATCCTTCAACAGTTTAATTAGTAAATCAATGGTAATACTTGTGTGAGACTAGTAATGAGCTGAGAGCAGTGCAGACTAACCAAAGTGATTTAACATATTTTTTTTTTGCAAAAAATAACTGAGCTAAGTGATGTCTAAGAGTACTGTATGTGTCAAGCTTTATATTTTAAGTACTATACCTTTTGTTTGTTGGTTCTATGTTTGTTATATATATTGTATTTACTATTACAAGTGAGTTCTACAATTTCAGGCCAGTATGAGAGCCACTCAGCCAGCTGGCTTTAATAAAACTAATCAAACCAGGTATATTTCTATATGCAATGCCAGGAATTTTAGGACTCACTTACCATGGGTTCAAACCCCACACCTTCCATTGTTTGTTTGCAGTTGTGTTATAATTTAGTTTCATGAGTCACAAAGACAGCTCTGAGGGAGCTTGAGCTAGAGTTCACCACAGCCATGCTAGTGGGAGATTTATCTGTAAAAATTTGCATTTGTGGTCACAGTGGAGCCCCTGCTAACCTCCCTATGGTTCATAGACATAACCTAGCTGGATGAATCTTCTTGTAGCCAGCTGGCCCAGTGCCTTACACCTGGCCTGTAATTTTAGGACTTACTTGCCATGTGTTCAGATCTCCACCCATTCCATGGTTTAACTCACCTGCTCACACCCACTGGCTCGCACACTCCCACCTACTGGCTCTCACACTCCTACCCACTGGCTCCCACCCACTAGCTCTCATGCTCCTACCCACTGGCTCCCATGCTCCCACCCACTGGCTCACATGCTCCCACCCACTAGCTCTCATGCTCCTACCCACTGGCTCCTACCCACTAGCTCTCATGCTCCTACCCACTGGTTTGCATGCTCCCACCCACTGGCTCGCATGCTCCCACCCAAAGACTCTCATGCTTCCATCCACTAGCTCACAAGCTCCCACCCACTAGCTCTCTCATACTCCTACCCACTGACTCTCACGTTCCCACCCACTGGCTCTCACGTTCCCACCCACTGGCTCTCACGTTCCCACCCACTGGCTTACATGGTCCCACCCACTGGCTCTCATGGTCCCACCCAATGGCTCTCACGCTCCCATCCACTGGCCCGCATGCTCCCACCCACTGGCTCGCATGCTTCCACCCACTGGCTTGCATACTCCCACCCACTGGCTCACATACTCCCACCCACTGGCTTGCATGCTCCCACCCACTGGCTCACATACTCCCACCCACTGGCTTGCATGCTCCCACCCACTGGCTCACATACTCCCACCCACTGGCTCGCATGCTTCCACCCACTGGCTTGCATACTCCCACCCACTGGCTCACATACTCCCACCCACTGGCTTGCACGCTCCCACCCACTAGCCCATAAGACAATGGACACACCCTGAGGTAGAGGGGAAAGACTGCAGTACATGCCGTATTTCCCCTATATGTACTCCATCGTGTAAACTGATTTTTATACAGCGTGTGCACTGAAACTATGCTGCAATTTTGCAAAGCACATTAACAGATTGTGTGTTATTCGACAGTCTACTGCAATTAAAAACAGTGATATGTCTACTATGTACTGCTATAACCAAGTGATTAGAAAACAGTGATAAGTAAGTCTAATACTACTATAGTATACTGCTATGTTCTACTAGGATTTTACTCTTGTCTTAAGTCTGCCTGAAATGCTGTACATAAATACAAGCTTTTCCATGTAAGACACTTTTGTACCAAATGTGACTTACTGGAAAATAAATTTATTATTATTTTTATTATGAATAATTATTCACATGCATGCTAATCACTTACAATCTAAAACTAATTTCTTGAATTAACCCTTTGACTGTCGAAAGGCCCAATCCTGAAGTGTCTCCTGGTGTCGCAAAATATTCGAAAAAAAAAAAAAAAAAAAAATTTCTTATGAAAATGTTAAGATTATGTTTCTGATTATTTTAGCCCCCCCCCCCAAAAAAAAAATTTCCCATCAGTACTTACCGAGATACAGAGCCCTGAAGTTTGCTGAAATTGATCTGCGAACGGCAACAGCGGCGACTGCTGCACACCCGGTAAACTTTGATTACTTCTATTCGATGGTTTCTTGTTTTTTTCACTATTTTATTTTTTCACATAACTTTTGTGGCCTGTGAGACCAAATTATTGTGCAATGTTCAAATATACACTTGTTGAATGTAACACAATTATAGCAAAAACACTCGTATCATTATAATGTTGCTAAAACTTGTTTACACAAACAATGTAAACAAATGTTTATTACAATTGTTCTATAATATATATACATATGTACAATCACTGGACACTTTTCTAGAACTGCTGATGCTTGTGGAATTCTTTGAAACATGGGTATAAGCACAATGGTGTCTTACACTCCTCACACATAAAACGAGTGTCTCTGCGTTTTTGTGGGCGTTTTGTGGTATGTCCACAGACAAAACACCTCTTCTGAGCATTTTTCTTGGCAGTAGTAGCAGGCAGTGGTATGGGGTAATGATCACCAGGCCTCAGACGAGAGGACATGTGTTGATAATTTCGTGGGCGCTGGTCTATTGCAGGTGTTGTTCCTTGGTACTTGAATATTATTTGTCTGATGACTGACAAACAAAATTCACCATATTTGGGTTTCTTCTTGGTCTTCAACTTATACATATTATAAGCATTCAGCATGAAAATGTCAAGAAGATGGAAAAACAGTTTTATGTACCACTTATAACTCTTGCGAACACAGTCAGCAAACCCAATCTGCATGTCACATTTGTCCACTAAGCGCATATTGAGGTTGTAATCCATCACAGCTGTAGGTTTTACAATGGGTTCATTGGTCTCTCTATTCTGCTTGCCAGTGTCTACCATTTCATGTCGGTGAACTGATGTCAGCAGTGTGACATCACGTTTGTCATGCCACCGAAATGCCATGATGTCATTGGCAGCAAACACCTGCACTTCACCTCTATGACTGCCAGCATCAAACCTAGGCATATGTTTATGATTTCCATGCACTGTGTCACACACATCTGTCATGTTCACTCGCAAGAAATCACTGAGTATAGGGCTTGTGTACCAGTTGTCAGTATATAAAATATGCCCCTTACCAAGATATGGCTCCATCATTGTTCTAACCACATCACCAGAGATACCCAGTAACTTTCTGGTATCTTCCAATGTTTTACTGCCAGTGTACACAATTATATCCAAAACCAGACCAGTTTTGCAATCACATAGAACATATAACTTTATACCAAAGCATTTCCTCTTACTTGGTATATACTGTTTGAATGAGAGTCTTCCTTTGAACAAAATCAAAGACTCATCAATAACAAGCTTCCTGAAGGGATAAAAATACATACAGCACTTTTGTTTCGGGTACATAAACACACGTCTGATCTTATATAACCTGTCGCTTCTATCAGGCCTTGTTTTGTCTGAAAAGTGTAACATACGTAACAGTAACACAAATCTATTCACTGGTATAATGTCACTGAAAGCAGGGGTTGAACTCAGGCGGTCTGTCGCCCAGTATGTGTTGACACTGTGCTTATACACATGTGGCATAAGCATTATTGTGGCAAAGAACAGATACATCTCTGCCACAGTTGTGTCCTTCCACTGGTGTAGGCGTGATCTTGGCGACAGAATAGTGTTTGCCATGGTGTACTCATAGTATGTATTGCTTTCCCTGACAATAATGTCCATCAGGAGTTCATCGAAGAACAACTGAAAGCATTCCAGTTCAGTGGGATTGTTCCCAAGTGTACATGATGGCCGTATTCCACTTTGTTCTCCATCAAAGTCATGGGGATTGGGAACAAACTCATCATCTTGCTGCCAATCCCAGATGCGGTCAGCTGGTGGGTTCTGGATATTGTAATGTGGTTGTGGTTGTGCAGGTTGTGGTTGTTGTGGGAGTGTGGGGTCGGGTGAGGCTGGTTGTAGTTGTGCAGTCAGCAGCGCGGGTAGTAGCGTGGCCCGCTGCTGGTGTCACATGACTCATGCCACCATCACTATCACCACCACCGCCTGCTGCCTCACTTGCATCATTGATACCCATCGTAACAATATCGTCAGCTTCACTATCAGGACATGGTGTAGGGCCATGGGATGTGCTCCGAGATGTACTCCTTCCTCTTGGAAGAGCATATGGCACACTACCAGACCGCATGCGACATCGTATATACTGCCGCTTCACTGGGGAATATTCACCCTCACTGTCACAACTAGAGCTGCTTTCAATAACCTTGAAATCACTGCTCACATCTGAGTCTTGTACACGGGCAAATAGTTTCCTCTTTCGTCCTGGTACAGGTGAACATGAACGAGCCGGCCCAGCACCAGAGGTGGAAGGTTGTGGGTCATCTGGGTTTTCATCACTAATTATGTGATCCTGGGCACTTTTTTCGGTCACACCCGCTTCAAAACCAGGGAATTCACTTTCTTTGACACTTTCATCACTGTTTGAGCTATCACTTTGGAACAAAAGACCTCCAATCCGCCAAGGAGGGAGGAACTTCTTACCGCGAGGCATGGTGAAAATGGACTACCAAGATGGTGTTCCCACAATGCACCGCTGAGTCCCATATTTTTTTCACAAGGTGCACACCGACCACTGAGACCCATTCTCTCTCATGTAGACCTACCAGCCCTCTCCCGCTTGATTTGAAGCCGCTAGAATTTATGCGTATAGATACGCATATGCGTATAGTTCCTTTGTATAAAGACAAAGGGGATAAAAGAGAGTGCAAAAATTATAGGGGGATAAGTCTGTTGAGTATACCTGGCAAAGTGTATGGAAGAGTTATTATTGAAAGAATTAAGAGTAAGACAGAGAATAGGATAGCAGATGAACAAGGAGGCTTTAGGAAAGGTAGGGGGTGTGTGGACCAGGTGTTTACAGTGAAACATATAAGTGAACAGTATTTAGATAAGACTAAAGAGGTCTTTGTGGCATTTATGGATTTGGAAAAGGCGTATGACAGGGTGGATAGGGGGCAATGTGGCAGATGTATGGTGTAGGAGGTAGGTTACTGAAAGCAGTGAAGAGTTTTTACGAGGATAGTGAGGCTCAAGTTAGAGTACGTAGGAAAGAGGGAAATTATTTCCCAGTAAAAGTAGGCCTTAGACAAGGATGTGTGATGTCACCATGGTTGTTTAATATATTTATAGATGGGGTTGTAAGAGAAGTAAATGCGAGGGTCTTGGCAAGAGGCGTGGAGTTAAAAGATAAAGAATCACACATAAAGTGGGAGTTGTCACAGTTGCTCTTTGCTGATGACACTGTGCTCTTGGGAGATTCTGAAGAGAAGTTGCAGAGATTGGTGGATGAATTTGGTAGGGTGTGCAAAAGAAGAAAATTGAAAGTGAATACAGGAAAGAGTAAGGTTATGAGGATAACAAAAAGATTAGGTGATGAAAGACTGGATATCAGATTGGAGGGAGAGAGTATGGAGGAGGTGAATGTATTCAGATATTTGGGAGTGGACGTGTCAGCGGATGGGTCTATGAAAGATGAGGTGAATCATAGAACTGATGAGGGGAAAAGGGTGAGTGGTGCACTTAGGAGTCTGTGGAGACAAAGAACTTTGTCCTTGGAGGCAAAGAGGGGAATGTATGAGAGTATAGTTTTACCAACGCTCTTATATGGGTGTGAAGCATGGGTGATGAATGTTGCAGCGAGGAGAAGGCTGGAGGCAGTGGAGATGTCATGTCTGAGAGCAATGTGTGGTGTGAATATAATGCAGAGAATTTGTAGTTTGGAAGTTAGGAGGAGGTGCGGGATTACCAAAACTGTTGTCCAGAGGGCTGAGGAAGGGTTGTTGAGGTGGTTCGGACATGTGGAGAGAATGGAGCGAAACAGAATAACTTCAAGAGTGTATCAGTCTGTAGTGGAAGGAAGGCGGGGTAGGGTCGGCCTAGGAAAGGTTGGAGGGAGGGGTAAAGGAGGTTTTGTGTGCGAGGGGCTTGGACTTCCAGCAGGCATGCATGAGCGTGTTTGATAGGAGTGAATGGAGACAAATGGTTTTTAATACTTGACGTGCTGTTGGAGTGTGAGCAAAGTAACATTTATGAAGGGGTTCAGGGAAACCAGCAGGCCGGACTTGAGTCCTGGAGATGGGAAGTACAGTGCCTGCACTCTGAAGGAGGGGTGTTAATCTTGCAGTTTAAAAACTGTAGTGTAAAGCACCCTTCTGGCAAGACAGTGATGGAGTGAATGATGGTGAAAGTTTTTCTTTTTCGGGCCACCCTGCCTTGGTGGGAATCGGCCAGTGTGATAATAAAAAAAAAATAAAAAAAAAGATACGTCAAACACGGTATCTCCCATGATGTATATATACGACCGCGACAGTCAAGGGGTTAAAACCCATTCACACATGTACACCCAAGGCAATACAAACTTTTGTGACAGCTTACAATACCTTACATTAGAAAACATCAATTACCATAGTCTACATACAAATTGGGTCCTTCAGGTTCACAGAAATCCTGTTATGAACCCCAATAACAAAATCCCCAACAAACAAGTTGAAACCAAAGTTGTGGCACATCAGAAAAAATGAGCAGCACAATTACCACCACACTACTAGGAGGAGGAGAGAGAAGAACAGGATCTTTTATAAGCAGGTGGCCATGGGTAAGCAGTGTGTACTCAAACCTCAATCATCTAGAGAACAGTTTCAAAGTAATGATTCCTTTGGAGAGATAGTCAAACATCTACATCCTGCTAAACCTTGTACAATATGTAGAGTAGACAGTCGTTTAACACGGTTTTGTTTGGCACGTTTTGGTTATAGCGCTACTGAAGAATTGCGTCGTATTTTTGTATAACACTTCATAAAATTAACTTACCATTGTTTAGTTTGCAGGAAGGGAAAAAATTTGGAGTGTGCGTCGCCCGCAGGATACACTATGCACCACTTAATTTCATCTTAATTAGGGAAAAGGCCTTACAGTTGTTTAAAGCAGTGTGTGATAAGGAAGGCCTGAAAAAGGGTGTATGTTTAACACAGGCTGGTTCCACACCTTTAAGTTGAGTAACAAGTTACATAATATTAAGTTTTCTGGTGAAAGTGCTTCAGATGATCATACAGCAGCAAGTAATTTCCCTGCTGAATTGCAAGAAATTATTTCTGAGGGTGGCTATGAGTCATATCAAGTTTAGTGCTGATGAGACGAGTGATTTTCGAAGAAAATGCCAACACGAACTTATATTAGTCGGTAAGAGAAAAGTGCACAGGGCTTCAAGACAGCAAAAGGATCGCTTCACCTTGCTCCTTTGCTCTAGTGCATCAGGTGATTTCAAGTATAAGCCCATGGTTATTTACCGCTCTAAGAATCCTCATGCTTTGAAAGGTGTAGATAAAATACCTTACCACTAATTTGGAGGTCAAACCAGTGAGCATGGATGACAGGAAATATTTATTGACAGGTTTAAGCATCACTTTATTCCTGAAGTCAAGTTTTTCCTGCACAGGAAGAACCTTGCATTCAAGGCTCTCTTCATTCTTGATAATTCTTGTACTCATCCACAAGCTTTGTTGGATGTGACCCCACATGTAAAAGTTGTATTTTTACCTCCAAATACAACATCTCCAATACAACCAATGGATCAGTGAGTCCAGAGGAAATGTTGGCAGAGCTCGATGCACAGATACAAGGGAGCCACATAACAGAAGATGAAGAAGAACCTAAAGAAAAACAGTTAACATTGCAGCAGTTATGTGAGCAGTTCCATGTTGCTGCTAAACTAGCAGACGTTTTCACTGAAGAGGATCCTGACAAATCTAGAAGCAGTGCTTTGAAAATCTAGAAGCAGTGCTGTGAAATGGGGTCTAGACGAGCTGATGATGATTTACCGTCAGTTGTATAATGTACTGCAGAGTAAAAGAGCCCAGAGATCCATTACAAAATTTATGCACACTCCAATACAACCACTGACTTTAGTACCAGAACCTCTATCATCCACCTCTGCTGACAACCAACAACCATCCACCTCAGTTCAGTAGGGCCGCACCATGCATATCCACTCTCTTCACAATCATCCACAAACACCATTACCCACAATTTAAGGTAAGAAATACTATTATTTCTATTGCATTTGTACTCTTAAGCAGTAATACATCACGAAAATGATCTACAATTACATATTCACTTTTATTTTTGTAAGATCTGTTGGTCTAAAAAAAAGTTGTTGGTTTTTTGGGGGCTCCCGGCGTTTTCAGGAACAAAACTACCGTGTTAAACGACGGTCTACCGTACTTCATGTATAGGGCCCAACAGGTTCACAACTTCCCTGTGACATGTGTGGTGCATGAGACCACCAAGGTAAAATTTGCCACAAAGCTTCAGTTAGGACGAAAATATCAAAGATATCAAGAAATGCATCACTAAGCCTCTAATATAGTATTTTTCCATATTAATAAATACCAAGAATGTAGATTTTTTTTTTTGCAACATTCAGTTATCATTCTTATGTAAATTCAGTCCATACTGGAAATACATAAAGACAATTTATACAGTGAAATTCATCTGATTTACCTTCCAAAAACATTGGTACCAGATCCAAATGCACTGCTTTGTTGCTGGTTTGCAGACTGTGCAAGCCCTCCAAACGATGCTGCACTATTTTGACCAGAAAAGCTGCAAAAAATTATGGTCATTTATATCAATAGTTATTAAATTTACACAAAAGCAATAAACCTGTCTGGGTCATAGTGAGATCAAACAGTGCATTATATACAGCCTCTTCTCATTAACAACAGAGTTCCATTCTTAAGACCACATTGGTAAACGAATTTGTCGCTAAGTGAGGAAAATACTACAATGGTAGTGGGTTTGTGTCAACCATCTCTGATATTGTTTTAATGTCACCTTTGCACCATTTATAACATTTCTGGTATATTTTTAAACATTTATACAGTAGTGTACTGTATATTGTAATAAAAGGAATAGAGGAAATCAGCTCAAATATAAATTATTTAGGTATGCATACTGGTCAGAGAGCCCGTAATAAATACGAGTCGTTGGTAAACAAGTACGTCGCTAAGTGAGGAGAGGCCGTATATACATGTAAAAAAAAAAAAATATTTCAAAATAAAAAAAATTATACCCAGAGGGAAGTAGTAAATCCTTATGGGTCATATAGTACCTAGGAAATGAGACAAAACTATTCTTTAAAATGCAGAATTTAGCAAAATATTTTAGAGCTCCTTAATTTATGGACCTACCAAATTGTTGTCTTCCCACTATGTTTTGATTTTGAATTGCTCTGGTAACATGTCCTATCATATCTGAATTTGTTATTTATTTAGGGGCTTACAAGCTTGCTTCCACTTGTTGCTCCTTCAATCAGGCCTCTGTTAAACCTTTCACACTATAGACCCTCCAAATTAATATTGCTGTGTCTATATTAAAAGAAAATCTGAAATAGCAGAGGATCCTTTTCTGAAGGTAGAAGGTATTGATAACAAAAATTCAAAATTTGATAGAAAACTTACAAAATTATGAAGGCTCAAAGTTTGCAGTCTCTGCACAATTTATGCATTGGCAATTTCACCCAATTTGAGTCTTATTTTAAGCTAATTCTGTTCCTCTATTTGGCCAAATTCTTAGTTGTTTCACTAGTATGCCTTCTGTTCTATTGGCTGAACACAAGTAATTGCCCATTCAGCTATTAGAACTACCCTATAAAATGAAAAAAATTTGGTAATTTAGCCAATTTTACACAAAATTAAAGAAATTACGGTTTATAAATACAGTCCAAAATATGCAATGTGGGCATTCCAGGTTCTAAAACAATATTTCTTATATTTATTAATCACTTGCCCAGGTTTTTCCTACATAACATTTGCCTTCCATTTTGAATTCGTAATCACACAAAAAATTTGAAAATTTACCCTATTTCTCATATAATAAAATATAACCAAGAATGATTTGCCATAGTTCACGGCATCCCTATAATTGTATCAGACCTATTAAAAATTCATAAAACAAACTTAGGGGAAGGGGGGTGTAGGGGGACCATATATGTGTACTACTTTTAAGCTTATCTAATATCTCAATTTTCTTCATAACATCAAGGCTTGAATGTTTAACTTTTTCTTGCCACTTCCAGTATCACTCACATTTCTCTTTGGGTGCCATGGTTACTATGCAGACATAAAACATGATGATGACATATCGTTTTATAAATACAAAGCTGCAAATTGTATGGGATGTATGTGAGGGGAACACAGATGTGAGAGGTGGGACAGGGGAGGATACTACCCCCCCCAACAACACACAGAAAATAACCTGATCCACAGGCCGGCTGCCCACAACATGGAGGAAAAAGCTCCCATGCCATTCCAAATTTTCCCTCTGAAGCTGCACCACCATAAATGAATTTCAGTAAGTCTTGATTGAAAAAATTCTGCAATGTTACAATTGTAATAAAGTTGGTAGAATTACCGACAATATGTAAAGTAAAAGGACACAAGTGCAACTAATGTGACATTTATTGTGGCAACGTTTCGCTCTCCAGGAGCTTTATCAAGCCATTACAAACAATACATGGACACAGAGGGTATATATAGGATCAGAGTGAGGTGAATACTAATGAGGTACCATTTCGATGTTCACTAGTGGTGGTAGTAGTAGTAGTAGTAGTAGTAGTAGTAGTAGTAGTAGTAGTAGTAGTGGTAGTGACAAAAGTAATACAATATGGTAGAGCAATTAATTCGTACATGAGTAAAAGGATATAAAAGCTATTACTTGGGTAACATAAAAATAGGTTGGACAAATATAGACTGGAATGAGGCAGCTTGTTTCAGTGTTCACTCTCTGTGCTTTGTGTAGTATAACAGGAGATGGCAGTAAACCCTGCCATCACATAGTCTCTCCTGTTATACTACACAAAGCACAGAGAGTGAACACTGAAACAAGCTGCCTCATTCCAGTCTATATTTGTCCAACCTATTTTTATGTTACCCAAGTAATAGCTTTTATATCCTTTTACTCATGTACGAATTAATTGCTCTACCATATTGTATTACTTTTGTCACTACCACTACTACTACTACTACTACTACCACTAGTGAACATCGAAATGGTACCTCATTAGTATTCACCTCACTCTGATCCTATATATACCCTCTGTGTCCATGTATTGTTTGTAATGGCTTGATAAAGCTCCTGGAGAGCGAAACGTTGCCACAATAAATGTCACATTAGTTGCACTTGTGTCCTTTTACTTTAAATGTTACAATTGTTGTATATCAAAAACATTACAGAAGATCACATCTTAATCAATGATGGTCTACTGTACCTCAATATACTAGGTACAGATCAAACATTCTGGAAAGAACAGACTATATACTGCTGTCAAATGATAAAGAATGTTGAGGGAGGCAATATCACAGCTTCAAGTTTACATGCAAGAACACAAATGTTCACATCACTGACAAGACACTCAGGCTTACCTTCCAAACCCTGGACTGGTTGCTGGTGAAGAGTTTGCCACTGAGCCAAATGTTGAAGCACCTGTTGAAGCAAAGCTGCTGAACCCTCCACCTATACAAAGGAAAAAATATATCTAAAAACATCCTCCTAGTAAATGTCACTTTCTCACATACAGTTTAGAGCATATTTCAACATTACATTAGGTTAGACAAATTACTCTACAAATATAAGAAAAAAAAAAAAAAAGGTCTGCCAAACAAACAGAAAACAGGTACCCATTATGTGCAGTTGAAATAAAAGTTATATTTCAACTGTACAAGGCACTGTCAAAAGTCACTCATTAGACTATTTTTACAATATTGCCTTGATGTCTATGGTTAACCCTTTGACTGTCGCATCCCCCAATCCTGAGGTGTCTCCTGGTGTCGCAAAATTAAAAAAAAAAAAATATTTTTTCTTATGAAATGATAGAGAATCTTTTCCCGATTGTAATGACACCAAAAAAACGAAATTTGATGGAAAACTGACAGAATTATGCTCTCGCGAAGTTAGCGACCTCGGCGCTGTTTACAAATCGGCGATTTCGCCCACTTTGAGCCCTATTTTCAGCTAATTCCATTGTTCCAGTCGCCCAAACTCATAGCTATTTCTTTAGAACTCCATTTTTTCTATCGATTGAGTACAAGAAACTGCCCATTTACCGATTTCAACTACCTAATAATGTGGTCAGAAATTTGCAATTTGGCCAATTTCACGAAAACTAAAAAATATGACAATTTCAAAATAAGGTCCAGAATGAACAATGCAGACATTCCTGGCTCTAAAATAACATTTCCTTTGCTCATTAGTCATGTCTCCAGGCCCCTCTGATATTACTCTTATTTTCTATTTTGAATTTTCATTCAAACAAAAAATAGAGGACTTACTATTATGCAGACTACTGCAATACTGTAATAATTGTATAAATAACATCAACCCATTCATGACTGCATATTAGAATGGCTAGTTGGACATTTATTGGAAAATGGCATCATTTGCTTACTTTGGAACATTGGCAAAAATCAAACAATTCCCCTACTTTGAGCTCCATTTCTAGGTTCGTTTTATAGTAAAATCAATCAAAATCACCTCTATTTCTATAATATGTTTCCAATTCTATCAAATGAGACCAAGAAAACGAGAATACAACCATAAATACTATACGAAAATAGACCACAAAGTCGGCATTTTAATTAAAAAAAACGGTTGGAGCTTTTTTTTTTCTCATTATGCACTGCGTGCTCCAGGATTTTTTTTATATGGTGCACACTGACCACACAGACCCATTCTCTCACATGTGGGCCTACCAGCTTTCTCCTGCTTGATTTGAAGCCGCTAGAATTTATGAGTATATATACGTCAAACACGGTACCTCGTAAGACGTATATATACGGCCGCGACAGTCAAAGAGTTAAGAGGAAGTGCTGAAAAATAGTGCATGCACTCTGAAGGACGGGTGGGGATATCTGTAGTTTGGAGAAGCATCTGAACTAAAGCATTGGTCTGCCTCTGGCAAGACTGTGATTGCGTGCGTGTGCGTGCGTGCGTGTGTGTGTGTGTGTGTGTGTGTGTGTGTGTGTGTGTGTGTGTGTGTGTGTGTGTGTGTGTGTGTGTGCGTGCGTGCGTGCGTGCGTGCGTGCGTGCGTGCGTGCGTGCGTGCGTGCGTGCGTGCGTGCGTGCGAACACTGGAGTTGGCCGATAATAGGGCTCAAAGTGGGCAAAATCGCCGATGCATCAACATCATCGAGACCGCTAACTTCGCAAGAGCATAATTCCGCAAATTTTCCATCAAATTTCATACTTTTGGTGTCATTATGATCAGGAAAAGATTCTCTATCTTTTCATAAGAAAAAATAATTTTTTTTTTTGAAATTTGGGCGACCCTGAGAACAAGTCTCTGAGAGGGTCTGTCGGCCCTGAAAGGGTTAAGAACTTTTGTCCCAAATGTGTCGGCGCGGCGCCCTGAGCGGGCCCGGCCACTCACTCCATGTACCAGCCACTGTGCCATTGTTTACAAAGCCAGTGAGGACAATTCCGCGCATACAAGCGATATATTTTGTATTATTCCATTGTTTTTGGTACTTGTAACTGCTAAATAAGCCACCATGGGCCCCAAGAAAGCTTCTAGTGCTAGTCCTATGGTAAAGAATGTGAGAAACACACATAATTTAAGAAAAGGTTTGTAGAAAAATATGAAAGTGGTGGTGGTAGAGGGTGGTAGTGGTTGTGATGGTGGTAGAGGGTTGTAGTGGTAGAGGGTGGGAGCGATTGTGATGGTGGTAGAGGTTGGTAGCGGTTGTGATGGTAGTAGAGGGTGGTAGTGATGGTGGTAGAGGGTGGTGGTAGAGAGTGGTAGCGATGGTGGTAGAGGGTGGTAGCGATGATGGTAGAGGGTGGTAGTGGTGGTGGTAGAGGGGGGGGTAGTAGATGTGATAATGGTATGGTATAATAAGGCATGGTGAGGCTGCCAGTTCTGACAAAAAAGTGGCTGAAAAATATGTGCAGGACTTTAAGGGGTACATAGAGGCCGAAAAATTAAAACCCCAACAAGTGTTCAAATGTGATGAAACAGGCCTGTTTAGGAAGAAAATGCCAAACAGGACCTACATTACTCAGGAGGAAAAGGCACTCCCAGGACACAAGCCAGAAAAGGACTTGTTACCTGAAGTCTTTATGGAAGGGGATTCCCCTTCCAAACACTAGAACACCTTCATCCTCTGCCCTCCTCCCATCTCATCAGTCATCAACAAGCCACATTAAAGGTAAGTGTGAAGTTATTATTGTTTTATTCTTCATGTATCATTGTTTTCTGTGTAGGAAAATGTATATTTCATGTAAAAAAATTATTTTGTTTAATACTTTTGGGTGTCTGGAATACCTTTGATATACCTTTGAAGAATTTCGAGAGCATATCTACTCTCTGAGCCCGGCCATGGGCCAGACTCGTCTGGTGCTTGCCTGGTCAACCAGGCTGTTGCTGCTGGAGGCCCGCTGCCCCACATATCCATCACAGCCTGGTTGATCTGGCACCTGGTGAAGATACTTGTCTAGTTTTCTCTTGAAGGCTTCAACACTTGTTCCAGCAGTGTTTCTGATATCTTCTGGTAAGATGTTGAAAAGTCTGGGACCCCGGATGTTGACACAGTGTTCCCTTATTGTCCCCACTGCATCCCTGCTCCTCACTGGGTTTATTTTACACTTCCTCCCACATCTCTCACTCCAGTATGTTATGGCAGTGTGCAGATTTGGGACCAAGCCCTCGAGTACCTTCCAGGTATATATTATCATGTACCTTTCTCTCCTCTGCTCCAATGAGTACATGTTCAAGGCTTGCAGGCATTCCCAGTAGTTTAGGTGCTTTACTGGCTCAATGTGAGCCATAAATGATCTCTGTATTTGTTCCAGCTCAGATATTTCTCCTGCCCTGAATGGGGCCGCCAGCAATGAGCAATATTCTAAGTGAGGGAGCACTAGCGATTTGAAGAATGTCACCATTGGCATTATTTCCCTTGTTTTGAAAGTTCTCAATACCCACCCAGTCATTTTCCTGGCTGTCATGATCTTTGTCTTGTTATAGTCTTTAAAAGAAAGGTCGGCTGACATAATTATTCCTAGGTCTTTTGCGTGTTGTAAGAGGTGACTAAAATGCCAGGAGAAAGGGGCTAGTAACCCCTTCTCCTGTATAAATTACTAAATTTAAAAAGAGAAACTTTAGTTTTTCTTTTTGGATCACCCTGCCTTGGTGGGATACGGCCATTTTGTTGAAAAAAAAATAATAATAATCAAGGGGGAGCACTAAACCCACAGGATTATACAGAGCCTGTGGGGGTGATGAAAGGTATTCAGGCTTAATTCAGGGAACTGGATCATAGATTCAGTCCCCTAGATCAAAAGGCCCTCACCAGCATCAAGGAACTTTCCTTGAGGTGACTGAGCTCATAGCAACCGACAGTGGCTTCAAAGCCACCTTATCTTTAATGGGCAATGTACTGTGTTGGTGCTTTACACAACAAGAAGCATTTCTTTTATTCGTTGGAACCATGGCTAGGGCTAAAAGCAAGCAGGTTATAACAATAAATGGAGAAAAAGAAATTGGAATGACTTATGCAGCAAATAGCACCACCAAACAGTACCAGCAGGTTGTGCGGCGACCCTGGAAATTTGAAATTATGCTAGCCGAAATTAGTGCCGAATGACTGATGGAACTGGATGTCTGATTGCCAGATTTGTGATGACAGACCTATATGTGTATATGTATGCAAACTCACATGATAGGAGAGTATTTCCCTATGTAGTTGTTGTTTACCAACCTACTTCAGCTCTTGCCAACCTATCAAATTTAAAAATAAATATAGTTTATGGCAGCTAAAGTGGTGTTAATAAAAACCCTTTACCAATATCAATTCACTGCCTTTTGAAGGCTTAAATATCTACAATGCCACTGTACAGCATACCTTAGAATTTGCTGACACAGAAACAAATATATTTTTGATCCTGTGTTTTACTATAATTACCTTAAATTCTGTTTACATACTTCTTTGCATAAACAAACAAACATTTACATTTACTACACCTGGTTGAACCCAAAACCCACGTTTCTTGTCTTCATTGCTTTTCTTGGTGTCCCTTTCTTACTTTTCTTCCTTGCTTGGTGCAGCCTTATCCAAGGTTTCTCTATAAGTGTCATTTCTGGGAACCTAAGCTTCTTAAATTATGGGATTCAACTAGGCAGCACTGTATACCACAGGCCCAAAAAGAACTTGGGAAAACACTCATAAAAATTATTCCTCATAAGCACACAAACACAATTTAGCCTAAGTACTACTATCATACATAATGTACAAGTGGTCACTCTCCTTAAGTTTAAACCTGCCCAGCTGGAAAACTACAAGTCGCAATAGCAAGGCTGGTCAGCTCAATGCACAAACTACCATTCAGAAGAAACTTTAGACACCATTACTGTTTCTAGCTGCTATCTGATAATTTTTTTTTTTTAACAAGTTGGCCGTCTCCCACCGATGCAGGGTGACCCAAAAAGAAAGAAAATCCCCAAAAAGAAAATACTTTCATCATCATTCAACACTTTCACCTAACTCACACATAATCACTGTTTTTGCAGAGGTGCTCAGAATACAACAGTTTAGAAGTATATACGTATAATGAATACACAACATATCCCTCCAAACTGCCAATATCCCAAACCCCTCCTTTAAAATGCAGGCATTGTATACTTCCCATTTCCAGGACTCAAGTCCAGCTATATAAAATAACCGGTTTCCCTGAATCCCTTCACTAAATATTACCCTGTTAGGTAAATAAACACAGATGAAACTAATGTGACATTGTATCGTGGCAACATTTTGCTTTCCAGGAGCTCTGTCAAGCTATAAGAGCTTGACAAAGCTCCTGGAGCATGAAACGTTGCCACACTAAAATGTCACACGAGTCCTAACATTTTAATGTTAGGACTCGTGTGACATAGTGAAGTAGTAATGATGGTAATTCTACCATCATTACTACTTCATAATATTCTGGGCGAGAGAGAATGACTGTCTGAAGTTTCCTCTCAACACTTTGGGTTAATTATGAATAATTTAATTTACTTTTAATTCACTTAGAAATAACATAATTACCTGTGGCACCTGATAAAGGAGATCCAAAAGTAGCTGTACCACCAAAAGTTGGAGGACTTCCAAACTTTGGAGAAGTAAACGATGGGGCACCTCCGAAGGATGGAGGACTGCCAAAAGCTGTACCACTACCAAAACCTAAAGATAATAAAGGAAAGCTAAAAACTGATTGATAATATTTCTAACTTTGTCATTAAGAAAGCATAACACACATCATATTTGATTAATACTCCATTACAACTTGAGAAAAATTGTAAGGTAGTGATATATTTAGGTCGTGTGTTAAGAGGCATGTATCCCTGAACAAGTGTTTACCAACTGATTTTTCTGTAACTACATACACTACAGTATGATGTAATGTATTTTTGAATACACAAATAAACAGCCACATAGGAGAGAGGAGCTTACATCAATGTTTAGGTCTGACTTCGACCATTTACAAAGCCACACTAATAGAAAGAAGAGGAGGCATATATATAGGCTAGCTGACAGGGACGGGTCAAGAGAGGTAGTAGGAAAGGAAGTAGAGAGGTGGTTAGTAGTAGTAATAGTAGTAGTAGTAACAGCAGTAGTAGTAACAGCAGTAGTAGTAACAGTAGTAGTAGTAGTAACTAGTAGTAGTAGTAGTAGTAGTAGTAGTAGTAGTAGTAGTAGTAGTAGTAACAGTAGTAGTAGTAGTAGTAACAGTAGTAGTAGTAACAGTAGTAGTAGTAGTAACAGTAGTAGTAGTAGTAACAGTAGTAGTAGTTGTAGTAACAGTAGTAGTAGTTGTAGTAACAGTAGTAGTAGTTGTAGTAACAGTAGTAGTAGTTGTAGTAACAGTAGTAGTAGTTGTAGTTACAGTAGTAGTAGTTGTAGTAACAGTAGTAGTAGTTGTAGTAACAGTAGTAGTAGTTGTAATAACAGTAGTAGTAGTAACAGTACGAGAGATAGGAACAAAAACAAAAGATGGGGGATAAAGGGTCAAACACCCAAGGCAGAAAAAAGAAAAGCCAAAGAAGAAAAAGGGGGAAAAAAAAAGAAAAGGGGATGAGGTAAAAAGAGAACAAGAAAAAAGAATCAGGTAAAGTCACAATGTTCTGAAGTTTGGAGCATTTAACAATGTAATGGGAAAGGGAGGCATCTACAAAGACAAAGCCAGGATTAAGTCATACAGGGAAAGTTGTTCTAACTTTCACAGTCGCCGTCTGGCTGAATCCTCCCGTATACACAACTTTCCCTGTATGAATCTTAATCCTGGCTTTGTCTCTGTAGATGCCTTGCTTTTCCATTACATTGTAAAATGCTCGAAACTTCAGAACACCTGTGACTTAACCTGATTCTTTTTTCTCCTTCTCTTTCTACTTCCCCTTGTCTTTCTTTTTTCCTTTTTCTTCCTTGGGTTTTCTTTCTTCTGCCTTGGGTGTTTGGCCTAATTTTATATTTCCCACTTCTTTGTTTTTGTTCCTACCCCTTGTGGGCCCTTAGCTCTCCTGCAGTGCTCCTCTTTCTTGACCTTTGACTGACTCTACTACTATCACTACATCTCTACTTTCTTTCCTACTACCTCTCTTGACCCATCCCTGTCAGCTGGCCTGAACACACTGCCTCTTTCTCTCCTTTCGGTTAGTGTGACTTTGTAAATGGCCCAAGCCAGACTGAACTGTCATTGTAAGCTCCTCTCTCCTATGTGAGGGTTATTTGTGTATTGTTCCAGCCACAGTATTGTGCCTTTTTATTTTTGCATACTCTCATTACATTCTAAGAGTTTTGGAAATATGTTAGCTTTCATTTAACTTTGCACACTGCTCAATTTTCAACTGGTCTCCCAAAGTCAAGATTAACTCATGATATTAAAGTTCTGATAATGACCTCTTGTTCATCTGAATACTGCCTGAATGAAGTCACCAAATTATCCCAGTGTGATCATGTGAACAGAAGTGACAAAAAAAAAATAGTATTAAATAGAACAAAATATAGATTAGTATATTAAACAGAACAGTGCATTCATATAAGAAATAATTATTAATTGTCAAGACATGCATTTTTCTCCTACCAAAATAAAACATAATAAATTTTTAACCAGGATGCCATATTTCCTTAAATGTCACTTTAGTGAAGCTAATATGGAAAATCTTAAAAATATTTAGAGTACAGTATAGTATAATTGAACTCTCAAATTTGTGACCTTTCAAATTAAGTGTGCTTCAACTATTCAGCACTGTTACTGAAGGATCTCTATACTTTCGATTATTCATACGTTTTTGTGGTTCCTAGTTCGTTTTGGCTTAGCACACGGCCCTAAATTGAAAACTAACCATGGGATTTTGTTTGAAATGTGCTCATTATATTTCCCATACAGTTGGGTTAATGGTTCAAATGAGAATAGTAGTGGCATCATCAATTAGCGATGATGTAACATTAATATAGAAGTGGCCCCAAAGTAGCAATTCAAAATTTGAATTCAGAATTGGTGCAGCTTTTAATACTTTACAAAAGTGATTTTTTTTTAATTTTCCATAAATTTTTGATATTTTTTTTATTTTAAAAAGTGTATTACAAAAGGCCACAATCCTTTCAAATTACTGATGTTTAAATGTACAGGAAGCCCTTGAACAACACAGGTTTGAACTACAGGTTCACTTATACACAGATATTTTTCAATAAACATACTGGAAATTTTTTTTTTTGGAGATCTGCGATTAAAAAAATTAAGAGAAAGTTACATATGACAAGAATGCATAAAATATATGTAGATACTAGTCTATCTTATAATTTACTGCCATAAAATATACACAAATCTAACATAAAAAGTTAAAATTGAGCAAAATTTACACACATGAAGAATTTTGCAAATTGTACATGTTCCATTCGCAGTTGAGAGAAATGTAAACAAAGGAAAAGATGAAAATAACATAATAATAATAATAATAATAATAATAATAATAATAATCCTAGGTAGTAGGTTGGTAGACAGCAACCGCCCAGGGAGGTACTACCGTCCTGCAAAGTGAGTGTAAAACGGAAACCTGTAATTGTTTTACATGATGGTAGGATTGCTGGTGTCTTTTTTCTGTCTCAAACATGCAAGGTTTCAGGTACGTCTTGCTACTTCTACTTACACTTAGGTCACACTACACATACATGTACAAGCATATACATACATACATACATACATACCCCTCTGGGTTTTCTTCTATTTTCTTTCTAGTTCTTGTTCTTGTTTATTTCCTCTTATCTCCATGGGGAAGTAGAACAGAATTCTTCCTCCGTAAGCCATGCGTGTCGTAAGAGGCGACTAAAATGCCGGGAGCAAGGGGCTAGTAACCCCTTCTCCTGTATATATTACTAAATGTAAAAGGAGAAACTTTTGTTTTTCCTTTTTGGGCTACCCCGCCTCGGTGGGATACAGCCAGTGTGTTGAAAGAAAGAAAGAAATATGCAAGGTTTCAGGTATGCCTTGCTACTTCTACTTACACTTAGGTCACACTACACATGCATGTACAAGCACATTTATACACATCCCTCTGGGTCTTTTTCTATTTTCTTACTAGTTCTTGTTTATTTCTGCTTATCTCCATGGGGAAGTGGAACAGAATTCTTACTCCATAAACCATGTGTGTCCTAAGAGGCGACTAAAATGCCAGGAGCAAGGGGCTAGAGAAACTTTGTTTTTCTTATTAGGTCATCCTACCTCGGTGGGATACGGCCAGGTCGTTGAAACAAAAAAATAATAATAATAACTAGGCACTAAAACCACAAGATGTAGGGGTCATCCTAGGAAAGGATGGAGGGGGTAAAAGAGGTTTTGTGTGCAAGGGGGCTTGGATATGCAGCAGGCATGTGTGAGCATGTTAGATAAGAGTGAGTGGAGACAAATGGCTTTTGGGACCTGACGAGATGTTGGAGTGTGAAAAGGGCAATATTTTGTGAAAGGATTCAGGGAAACTGGTTAGCCAGACTTGAGTCCTGGATGTGGGAAGTGGGATATTGGTAGTTCGGAGGGACATCTAAACTGTCATATCTGAGCGCCTCTGCAAAGACAGCGATTATGTATGAGTGATGGTGAAAGTGTTGAATGATGATGAAAGTTTTTTCTTTCTTTTTGGGTTTTTCTTTCTTTTTGGATCACCCTGCCTCGTTGGGAAGTGGCTGACATGTTAAAAAACTAATAATAATTTATTATTATAGATTGTACATGTTCCATTTGCAGTCGGGAGAAATGTAAACATACGCAAAGATGCAATATTAAATAATAAATAAATATGAATTTCTTTTTCTCATTTAAATACAGTACAGTACTGTAAATGTATTTTTTCTTCCTTAAAATTTTCTTAATAACATTTTCTTTTCTCTAGCTTACTTAACTGTAAGAATACAGTATTTATTTATTTATTTAATAATTTGAACATACATACAGAGGTACAAAAAAATACAGGTAAGAGCAGCATGCCAAAGCCACTTGTATGCATAGCATTACGGGCTGGCTTAAAATTAACTTAAGATTAACTAAGCAATGATGTAATCAGTGATAAAACATTGTAAACAAATAACAATAAAGCACAAATGAGTATTACAAAGACAGGTCATATGGTTGCATGCATTACTGTACATTCAGTAGAATAGAGTATTCCGTTAGATAGTGTATTTAAATAATAACAACGTTAGATTGGGTCTTAGGTTTAACATTTATGTGATATAATTGTGAGAAACATTTAAGATATACAATTTATAAGATTCAGTTATTCAGTATTTATTTGGTTTTGGGTGAGTAAGTGATCTTTGAAAAGAGACTTGAATTTATAAACAGGTAGTGTTTCTTTTATATTTACAGGTAATGAATTCCAGATTTTAGGGCCTTTTATGTGCATTAAGTTTTTGCATAGCGTGAGATGGACACGAGGAACATCAAAGAGTGATCTGTGCCTTGTGTTATGGTCATGTGTTCTGTTGAGGTTGGCAAGGAGAAGTTTGAGGGGAGGGTTAATATCAGAGTTAAGTGTTCTATGTATGTAATAGGTGCAGTAATAAGTATGGATGTTTTGTATGGTGAGTAGGTTTCGTGTTTTGAATATTGGTGGAGTGTGCTGCCTGTAGTGGGAATTTGTTATCATTCTGACTGCAGCCTTTTGTTGGGTAATTAGTGGTCTGAGATGGTT